ATGCCGGGCTAATTTTTTTTTTTTTTTTTTTGAATTTTTAGTCGAGATGGGTTTCACCATATTGCCCAGCCTGGCCTCAAACACCTGACCTCAGGTGATTTACCTACTTCAGCCTCTCAAAGTGCTGGGATTACAGGCATGAGCCACCATGTCCAGCCAAAATTTAAAAAAAAAAATTTTTTTTTTCCTAAGTAGACATTGCTATGTTGAGGAAACTGTACTATTTCAACAAAAGTATCTGCTGAATTTATTTATTCTTACCTATTAATTGTTGGTCAGTTTGAAAAAATGCATTAAATAAGATTATAAATTGGAATAGGAGAAAGGGAAAAGAAGATATAGCAATAATAAAGATGAAGACAGTAGTGACTAACTACAAAATCTGGCCCAGCATTCCTGACAGCCAAAGAAAATATTTTTGGTATTTTGGGATAAAACTCCCATGAAACATTTATATAGGGAACATCAAATTCTAATAACACTTTCTATGTGTTAATACATGTAGGAATACTCTGTAAATTATGAAAGCACTACACAAAGATGAAAAGATAATTATTATGCATATATTACTGAATTGAGAATAAAGCCACAATTCTGACTTTCAGCTCCATTTTCATCAACAAAGGCTTATGTATAAATACCAGAAAAAAAGTTTGAGATTGGGCAGCTTCTATGAAATACAAAGTCCGGAATAAGACTTTTATTAAAATCATAGCGCAACAACCCTGATCTTGTTCTATAAAACCACCAACACATGTGTACAGAATCTAAGAAGACATAAACACTTCCTTTGGGTTGTAATGTGCAAAGGTGAAATGCATAGAAAGATATTAACCACCTTTGAAGTGTAATTTTTCAGTTTTAAATAAAGCTTTTCAAGTGGCACTTATAGTGGAATAAAAATGTACTTAAAATAAGCATTTAAAAATATTTTCAATATTCCATATAGTTTACAAAAACTTTAGACAAACCCCAATTCTATTTTTCCATGAGTGGTCCACTTTAACACACCTGTCTGCTTTTTATATAAGCACACAGTTATTTATTAAGCATGTAAACCTCCTTTCTATTTCTTACTATCCAGCAGGATTCTGAAACCTAGATTATCATTCAAAGAGATACATAGCTAAGTGGACCTTCATTTAGCTCCATTCTACCCATTTTGATACTAACTCCATCAGGTAACCAACGTGGAGAATAAGACTTCTCTCCCTAGTAGGCACTCACCTTCCATCTGTTCCATTTAAAGTGGCCTACCAGCCCCTTTGAGTTGAAGTCTTTCCCTGACTCAAGTTCCCTTTAGGATTCTTCTGAAAAGGGAAGTCCTGAAGGTTTCCTTCATTCCTTTATTCAGTGCACACATATTGGTGGAGAGTCTCCTGTGTACTGGGCTATGCTTTCAGGAGACAAAGGATAAGATGTGGTCCTTTAAGAATAGGCCAGGCGCGGTGGTTTACGCCTGTAATCCCAGCACTCTGGAAGGCTGAGGCGGGAGGATCACCAGGTCAGGAGTTTAAGACCAGGCTGGCCAGTATGGGTGAAACCCCGTCTCTATTAAAATACAAAAAATTGGCCAGGCATGGTGGTGCACACCTGTAATCCCAGCTACTAGGGAGGCTGAGGCAGGAGAATTGCTTGAACCTGGGAGGTGGAGGTTGAAGTGCATGAAGATCACACCATTGCACTCCAGCCTGGGCAAAAGAGGGAGACTCTGTCTCAAAATAATATAACATAACATAACATAAAATAACATAACATAACATAACATTAATATAATATAATATAATATAATATACCCCTTCGACTCTGCCATTGTGTAAATGAATAACTGAATAACTGAAAGTGTCACAGGGCCTTTCTCTACCTAACAGAAGCTACTGGGGGCAAAGAAAGGGAAGGACTACTTCTGTCTCGCAATCAGGGAAGTCTTTCTGAGGGGATAATACCTAATGTTTAGCCATTTAAAATGATCGGCTGGGTGGTGAAGAGAGTAGGAGATTCCCAAAGGGGGAAATCGAGCAAAATCTTGGAAAAGTGGGCAATTTTGAAACAGCTCTGCATAACTAGAAAGATTAGAAAACGGCAGTTTTCTCCTGTTACGTAGGTGGTTCACACCTGTAATCCCAACACTTTGGGAGACCGAGGCAGGTGGATCATCTGATGTCGGGAGTTCAAGACCAGCCTGGCCAACATGGTGAAACCTTGCCTCTACCAAAAATACCAAAATTAGCAGGGCATGGTGGTGGGTGCCTGTAATCCCAGCTGCTCGGGAAGCTGAGGCAGGAGAATCTCTTGAACCTGGGAGGCAGAGGTTGCAGTGAGCCAAGATTGTGTCACACTGCACTCCATCCTGGGCAACAAGAGCAAGACTCCGTCTAAAAAAATAAATACATAGCAACTGTGATTACTATTTTGCTAACCACCGGCTACAGTGAGGATAGTTTAGCACCATATGCAAAGACCACCAAGCTTGGTGGTGCTCTTCAGTGGTTTTGCCCAACACAGTTTATTTCTTGCTTATGTGGATTCTGTTGTAGGTCCTGGGACTCTCCAGGGCAGCTGTGCTCTGGGTAATAGTTTAGCATTCCAATAACCTTCAGTCTTGTGTCACCTTCATTTTAATACATGCTTTCATGTTTGAGGCAGCCAAGGAAGAGAACATAGAGACTCAAACACTGGCATAAGTAATTTCACCAGAAAATAAAGCATTTCTTGTCTGCTCACATTTCCACTTACCAAAGTCACAGGACCATACCTAATTTCTGTGGGTGGAGCATATAATCCTCCCTCTACCAGAAGGAGGACAGCAAAAAGTGGTGAGCAACTGAAATGCCTTCAGCGGTTATGAAATGTTATAAAAATGTTTTATGATTAAGATTAACCTAATCTTACTAGTATTAGGGTCCATAATATTACTGGTATGTCATAAATTAAGGGTGAAACTAATTAAAGATTTTATCTTGTCTTGTGATTGAAAGATATGACTTTAAAGAAGTTTCACTGTTACTCAATATTTGTTGCAAGCAACTGTAAAAGCTTGCATAGCTTCACATTCAGAAGCATAAATGATTCATGAAATTGTTTAACCAGAGTTATTATTTAAAGACTAAAATCCAGGGGTATTTAAATAAATTGCATTACTATTAGTTAAGCTCTCTAAAAGCAACTTTTTCTAATATGGTTCCAGTATTGTAATCCAAATGAGTCATGTGGTTTTTTCTTTTTATGTGCAAAGATGCACTGAAAGGACTACATAATGCACTGGAAGAAATAAATACTAATGCCTGCCTATGATAGGCAAATAGTACATTGCTAGACATTCAGTTCAGCAATCTTTTTTTGTTGCTGCAATGGATAAACAACTAAAGGATAATTAATATTTAATTTTAATATCTTCCAACTGTTACTCTATCAGTGGCTAACACAGGTTTATTACTTGATGTCAGTACTACAGCAGAGGTCTTCTTCAGGGTGTTCCTTCATGTAAGATCTCTCCGTCAGTTTAATGCAAATATCTGTTTTTAAATGTAATTTTGAGTTGATTTCTTAATGTCACATTTTTTTCTGAAAACACATTTTTGGTTCCATCAGAATGGCTTGCACCTTAAAACAATTGGCACTTATAAAAAATATAAAATATGCAAATATATTACGGTGGTACTAATGTGATTGCGGTTTTGTCATTACTTTTAAAATGGCAAAAAGCCGCAGTAACTTTTACCTAGTACCTGTCAGGTGTAAAGAATCATCTAAAGGGCATGCACGTGGATACTAAAACGTACAAGCACACAGCTGTGTATGATTCCTTTATGCTTGTAACACTTCCAATAAGTGAATAAAATCTATCACTTAATTCTTACAGACTGTCATCAGACATACTGTTGACCAGTTTTCATGTCACAACTGTTATAGGCTTTTACAAAAAATGCCTCTGAAGACAGGCAAGCTTAAACCTGCCACCAATTAGTAAGATCTGTGTTACAGGTGCACTTTTAAAAGAATGGCAACCTTAGAGGTCAAGTTAAAAATACAAGCTAAGAAAAACACACACACACAATCCTGGACGTCGAAGGTCAGACTGCAGGCCCCACTCTGAGAGTTTCTGTCCGCATTCCGCGGAGGCCCCAATCCTCCCCTCGGGTCCTGGCCAGGCAGGTAACTTCCCTTCCTCCCCACCTGTCCTGCTCTGGCGCAGCAGGCTTCCCGAAGCGCAGCCCTAGCGGTGGGAATGGGAACACCTTGCCTGGGAGCTTCCTTTCGGTTCAGCTTCCCCCCAGCTGGACCCCAAACCCCGAAGCCCTGGGGGAAGGAAATTCCAACTCGCTCCCGGCCCACCCCCGCCCCGTTCCTCTCTCCGGCTCGCTGCTTCCCTCGCTCAGATGCCGCCGAGCTCGTCCCCACTTCTGGGCAACCGTGCGGCAGAGGCGGCGGCGAGCTCCCGGACTCCCGGCAGGGAAATGGGGCAGGGTGAGTGAGCGAGCGGGCTCCAGCGAGGCCCCCAGCGCCCAGCGAGCGCCCACACCCCGCCCGCGGGGCAGGGGAGGCGCTGAGTCGGCCCGGCCCGCTCTGGGCTAAGCCTCGCAGGGGCTGCGGCTTCTCCATTCAAGTTCTGGCTTGAGAGCCGAGCTGCCGCCTGAGGGCCGGGGGAGGGAAGAGTAGGAGAGGAAGTCGCGAGGGAGAACAGGAGAGCTACTGTCTCCTTCGGAAAAGAACGTAGGAAGGAGCCTTGGGTGGGAAAAAGAGAGATCAGCCCTCCCAACTTCTCTTCGGGAAAACTTTTCCCAGGGCGTTTTGTTTGTGCAAACTCGGCCGGAGGAGCCCGGGAGTGCGCTGCCGGCGTGGCGGCGTTGCCCGTGCACCCGGCCCGCTCCTCCTCCGCTTCCAGCCGGGGCAGCTCCTCTCCCTCCCAGAGAGGCGCCAAATGGCTACTCACTAAACCCCACGGGGCGGGGGCTGCAGCGTCACCTCCTCCTCCGCCGTACTCCTAGAGCTTGCTAGACCTTGCGGCGACGGCGGCGGTGGCGCCCGAGGGTTTGGAGCCTCGGCCCGCAGGTGGAAAGCGCACCCGGGAGGCGGGCCGGCCGGGGCTGGGGCGGCTCGGGCGGGCTCTTGACGCTCAGCCAGCCCCGCTCCGGCCTCGTGAAAGCGCGCGTCCCGCCCTGACCCGCTGGCCTCTCCCACCCCAGCAGTGACGCGCCGTCTCGGAGCTGGAGCCCGCGCAACGCCCCGCAGGGCTATGGACGGCCGAACCCCGCACTCGCAGGACGCCCAGGCGGCGCCCACGCCGCTCGCCGCCCCAGCCGGGTAAGCATACAGCGCCGCGCCGCCGCTCCCCGGGTAGGGCGAGGACCCGAGGCCGCGGCGGTTTCACCTGGCTGGCAACTGTCTGCCCTGCCGGCGGCCTGACTCACTGGCCGCCCTCCACGCAGCCGGGGAGGCTGCTTCTTCCCGGCCTTCTCGGAGGCCACCCGGGCGGAAGGCTGGTTTTTGGTTGCCTTCCTACCGGGGCTGCCCGGATTGCTGAAGGCCAGCTGAATGCCAGGAATTGGGTGAGGAGTCCGGGAGCAAAAACTCTAACAAAGGGCCCCTTGTTTGGGCTCTGGAGGAGCGGTGGACGATACCTGTAAGTGAGCTCCTGGGAAGAGGGCAAAAGTTTCCTTGGCCATGGGCGAGGCCCAGGCAGGTGAGCAGTGTCAACGTGACTGTAAGGAGTGGGCTTTCTGCAAGAGGGTGGAGGGCGACGGAAGGTGTGCCAGCTGTCAGCCCGCTTGACAGTTCCGGGAGCGAGCGGGGTGCGCGCCTCTGATTGGGGGTGTGTGTGTGCCTGTGGCCAATTGCTGGTGCCAAAACCAAGCGCAAATCAGATTGCAAACAACTCTACTTTTCTTTTTATCCTCACATGTTTGAGAAGAGATTGGAGGGGAAGGGGCTGTCACATGATGAGTTAATGTTAAATGAAGCATGTCTTCCTGCCAGATATGCGAATAGTCACCTTGCTAAGTATTTGAGTAAACAGTAGTGGGAACAGGTAGTTCTGCAAAAGATGAAAAAAACCCTAAAATAACCTTGGTCTTAGTAAATAGTTCAGGAGTAACTTGGATGCTAGTTTAGCTCCTGAAGTGGGAAACCCCTTTGATGTAGTACACCTTTTTTTTCCCCAAGTGTTCTCCCAACGTGGTTTATTTTCTTTACCTGAACGCAGAAATGTCCTAATGAGAATATGAGCATTCTAGAAATAGAAACGTTAAGGAAAAATCGACGTTGTCACTAATGAATGAGACTTGTACGGTTTTCCTGATTTAAGAGTGTGGAAGTCATTTTTCCCTGGAACACGACAGGCGTTTCCTTAGAAGCAAGTCACAGCATGTGTATTCATCAGAGACTATTCGAACATTGGCAGTTGTCTAGAGGAAACATGGAAAAGTCTCAAAGCAACATGACTAATCTAAAAGATATTTAGTATAATTTTTACATAGAGGAAACATGTATATGAATTAATTCTTTCATTTTGCTCCAGTTAGCTTTCTCCTCTCCAAATAGTCCTCTTGCTTTTGACTTTCATTTATCTTTCCCCAAGTTTTTCATTGTTTAAATTATCATATATTCTTCCATACGTTCTCACGTTAAGATGAGTAAAGAAATATATTGGTAGAAAGATAGTGAGCATAAAAGCAAGGTTCCTAAGTGGAGCTGCAGAATTATGTGAATTGATGATGAGACAGATTTCCGATTGTAAAATAAGATAGAATTAAATTAGATTTTGAAATGGATTAGGTTAAGGAACTTTAAAAAACAAAGATAGAAAAACATACCTGCTTTCACAAAATACACCCATGGGTGTTCAGAAGTCACTGGGGACTTTTAAATAAATTGATGAGGTCAGATGGCTCTGTGTTAAAGAAATGGAAAAACACTTTTAGTGGCAAGGATGACTATAGTAAGAGCCTTCAGATGTTACTCTTGATTTTCTGTTTTAATGTAGACATAAGGTCTTGCTTGCTATGTTCCCTAGGCTGATTTTAAATCCCTGGCTTCAAGCAATCTCACCTTGGCCTCCTCAAGTGTTGGGATTACCAGCATGAGTCAGTGCACCCAGCCCCTTTGAGAATTTGAAGGTTAAACTGATAAATTCTTCACTTTAAAAGAATGTACAAAGGTGCTTTATCTAATTTGTTAAATATTTGTAAAGGACTTTTGCCCTCTCCTTTTCAAATTTAAGTAGGGGCATCTGAAAAAATGTGCCAACACCTTATCTAAAACACCACCATTGTTCTCTCATTTCATGTTACCTTATTCTATTCAGAGAAGTTATCACTACCTGAAAAATATCAACATTAAAAAATTACCTCTCTACATCATTTGTCTTCTTCCACTTGCCTAGCTTGTCCTTTGGCATATTCTGAGTGCCTGTCATATAAGAGTTGTTGAATACTTAATATTCATTATTGCTTCTGTTCTTTCTTAAAAACCCCAGAACATTAAAAAAAAAAGGTTTAAATTGAGTGAAAAATACCTGAGATAAGAGTATGTGAGAAGTGGCAGGCAGCAATTTTAATACGTTATAATTGTTAAGTTTTGGAGGTAAATTTCTTGCTATAAAACTGACTAATTAGATCATAACTCATTATTTTAATAGACAAGGAGACCTAGTTTAGTCTTTATCCTTGGATATTACTGTTGGAAATAATTGCTCTGTAATTTTCCAAGTTTTACATTGTTGTAACATATCATTTTAACATGGCACCAAGTTTAATTGTTTGTATTTTATAAATGAGAATCTGAAGGTCAGAGACTCTGAGTGACTGGATTGCAGTCTCAGCAAATTAGTAATAAAACCAGAAGAAAAACTCCAGGTGCCTAGTTCATTTTGTTAATTGCTTTTAATCTTTTCTTGACCATGGTATGATATAGTAATCTACATTTTAAAGGATAACTTATATTTAAACATCAACTCTGTAATATTTTAATACATTTCAGGAAAAAGGTAGTTGATGTTCTTATCCTCACTTGCATTAATTCTATGATAAATTAGCCCATTTGAGGAATGACTATTTTAGGAAAAAGAAATTGTTTTATGGCCTCTCAGCTGCTGCTTTTTCTTTGAAACATTCTAAATAATAATTGTAACGTCAAAAAGGATAGTTTGAAGTTTTTTTGGTGCCTTCACGCATTTAACTCATGTTTAGCATTCTACCATATTTTGAATTATATGGGTTGGGTGCCTTTCTTTTTTTTTTTTTTCAGTGGAAGTAACAGTGCACAGAAATAGTACCTGCCTTAGGGTCTGTGCTGGTGAAGTCCCTGCCTTCGAAGGGTCTGATCCCCTGGTCATCTTGAGTATCTTTCATCTTGGCCTCCATTGTACTGCTTTAATCCCTTATCATTCTGGATTAGATCCCTTTCTTTTGAGACAGGGCAGAGCCTTGCTATGTTGCCCAGGCTGACCTTGACCTCTTGGGCCCAGGTGATTCTCCAGCCTTAGCCTCCTGAGTAGCTGGGACTACAGTCACAAGTCACTGTGCCCAGCTTTAGATCTCTTTCTTAATATCATGCAAAAGTATCCACTTCATATTTGTTGTTCTGTATCTTATGGGCTTGTTTATGGCATTTGTTATGAGATACATTGTTCTACATCTTATGGGCTTGTTTTTGTCACCTAAAAGTTTAGATGTCAAAAGACATTGAGTCACAATCGTTTCACTTTTTCTTTGAGAAAAAAATTTGCATGCAACTTTATATATTCATATGTAATATGTGCATTCATGTATAATATATATTTACATATTTTATGTATACTATACATATAAATACATATATACTATCTAATTCGTATATATATAATTTCACATGTATGTAAAAGTTGATTGGTTTAACTTGCGTAGTCATCTAGATGAAAATTGATAAATCATTTTTATATTTGTTTCTATGAAGTGGAAATCCTGGGTTGGTTTGCAGTTCGTTCTGCAGAGAGCAACACTGTTGGAGACACTGGTTGGAAAATTGAAAAGCTGCATTGGAGAACAGAGTGATAGCCAAATTAAGTTTTCTGTGTTAGTACTTAGTAAAGTGACATTAATCACTTAGAAAAAGCAACATGATTGCTGACATCAACCTGGGTGCTTAACTTTGAAACTACTAGTACTTGTGTTATTTCCTTGCCAGATATGCTTAAAAAAAATTCCTCGAAATTTAAATGTTAAAAGCTTGGTTGACTTTGCTCTGAGAGATCTTAATGTTTTGATTTTGAAGCAAATTTTCAGGAATGTACATGGGGGACAAAAGCTCTCTTTACCATTTTGTAGCTTTGGAGCTATGGAGTTAATTGAAGGCATATGAAAAACTAAAGAATGATTTAACAGCTGCTTTCTTAAGCTTTTGTTGGGGAGTGTTATTGGTTCTAAGTTCTTCATTACTTAGAAGTTGAGTTACTTCTCTGAGGTTTCAACATGAGAGTCATCTCGGGTACTTTCACACTAATTCTTGGGCTCTCATACGCCCACCCATTCTGTTTTTAATTCTCTTGGTCTGGGACCAGGACATGGCTACATTTAAAATGCTCCTCAATGATTGTAGTGTGTGACCAGATTTGAGAATCATTAATTAAGTAGATATCAACAGCTGATGTGGAGCTGATGCCAGAAAGAGAATAGAGGCTGTTATTAATCATTTGTAGGGAATCAAGTTGTAACTTTAGCCTTTTGAAAGATTCCATTTAGATTCTTCACAATATTATTTTTAATGCTTTTGACACTTCTTTTTGAATAAGTATATTAACTTCATTTTACAGTTAGTGAAACTGAGGATCAGAGAGCTTAATTAACACATTGAAGGCCACACAACTCTAAGGAATGGAAGAGTATTAGAAATCAGCTCTGATTGCAAACCTATGCTTTTCATAGGGCTATGTTTGCTACCGTGGATTATACCGAATGGCTAAAAAAAGATTTTTATTTAAAGTGGCCTTATAAATGCATTATCTTGATTCATGTTTATATTTCATATTTAAGCACTATGAATTTCAATGCATATAAAAATGTCTAGCATTTAAAAGGAGATTCAGTATTTGGATTATGTCTTCGAAGTAATGTGTAACATATTCCTGTGCTTGGTATGATATAATTTAACTCATAGTAAACTGGCAGTTTTCTTTCATTATGACAAAGTTTATACTTATTTTTGGTATTGGGCAGCTATTAAATTTATAACAATATTTCAAAAATAGGATTTTTGATTACTGAATAAAAAAATGAAATTATTTATTAAAACAATGATATACTTCACTTTTAAAATCAAATTATCTCTAC